AAGCCGCATGTCGCGGAGCACCATTAACTGTCCTGATTGAGTTCCTTTCATAGTTCAATAAAGCTTTGTGTGTTCCCCATCTTCTTTGTGTGTTCTGTCCTGCCTATGCTTCCGTTACAGGGTGCAATAAAAATATTTACAGAAATAGATGTAGCCAATATATATATAAATATACAGAGAGCAATAACCCAGCAAAGAGATAACAGAAAGAAATTTAGAGAGGTGAAGTACTTGCCAAAAGTCCTGGGTTAAGCAGCTTTCAAGTTTCAGAGCAAAAGGGCCTTTATCTCGTAAAGTTGGTTCCTGGTGTTAAAAAGGAGAATTCTTCAACTTAGCTTAACTCAGCTTCACTTAGCTTAGCTTCTCCAAGCATAACAGCTTTTCTAGGAACTCAGCAGGGTGTCTCCTTGAAGCAGAGAACCAATCGCCTCATTTGGGGAGGGTGTTGGGGCGGAGACCCCAGCTAGAACCAAAATCCCAGCTTATATCATGACCCATAACTTACCCTCGGTGCCTGTAGTAGCCTAGCCACTAGTAGATTAATATGCAGAAGCATCTGCTGAACGTCTAGATATGAAATATGACATATAAATATTATAACCACTTCCTAATATTATAAATGTACAATCAACACCCCAAAGCACCAACAACACCTTCACTCCTGAAGACTTAACAATTGATAAACAGAAAGTGCTTTAAATGAATAAAATAAATAAAAAATGAATAAAAAATGAAAAATCCTCTATTAACAACTACACAAGTAAAGTTCAGACCCTAAAGTGTTCTCAAAATAAAAGCTAATTTTCATAGCAATGAAGAAACAAGTCTCCAAAGGATTGTAGTTCTTCCAATATATTCCACAGCAATATACCCTCAAAAAAAAGAGAAAATCACATGTCATGTCATTACATGTCACCATATTGGAAAGGGGAATAATGCCCACACTCCCCATTGGTGAATAGAGGAATACCGCAACAAAGGATGTAAATAAAAAACCATATATGGTACTACCAGTCTACTAATTAATGTACATATAAATTGTAAATATACATTCCTAATAACCTATACATACAAACATAAATATACACACAGATATACCATCCATTAGTATATCAGAAAAACATATACATGTCACCACCTAAACCTATGAATGCAATCTACCTAGCTCCCTAACACTTATAATACTACATGCCCAGGAGGATAATATTTCAAAAGGGGCTATACTCATCTCGTTAGAAATTATGGTCCCAATAATTAAAAGTCTAAATATTATAAAACCAACAAACTACATTGTACTGATATTTCTTTACCATAATTCACAATTAAATTATATATATATTTTTTTAAAATAATAAATTCTATTCATTATATTCAATTATTTTATAAAAAATAATAAAATTAATTATGATTAATAATATAATTGTGAATATAATCATACATTATATTTTATAAATTAAATACATCTATTAATTATTTTACATCTTTATAACAAATATTTATATATATATATATATATATATATATATATATATATATCTTTATATCTTTATACTCATATTGATAAGTTTCATGTAATAAATAGATCTAAAATTATTTATTTCATATATAGAAAATATAAATCTTTTTATAAAAATTATATGTAACTAAAATATATATATAAAAAATATATGAAAACATTAAAAAAAAATAATTTAAAAATATATAATTGTATCTATAATCCCCCTACACTCCAATCAAAATCCTATCCATGTCCAGCCCTACCTAAAAATTAGAAATAAAACAATTCAAATCTAGGTCCACATTCAAACCCTTTGGTCTTAAAGTCTGTAATTCATAAATCCAAAAGGTTTCGTTTTTAGAGATGGACTTAATTTTATCACCCCCCCCTCCAATGTGAGTCAACCCTATCAATGCCACTAAATTTCAGAACGCTCGGATCACAATTATTATTTATATTTACAATTTATATGTACATTAATTAGTAGACTGGTAGTACCATATATGGTTTTTTATTTACATTCTTTGTTGCAGTATTCCTCTATTCACGAACTGGGAGTGTGGGCATTATTTCCCTTTCCAATATGGCGACATGTATTAGGCGCTGTATGGAGGAAGGGCTATAAATAGAACTGTCCTGCTTGACGTCCGTATCCCTTATGATTAAGTCGATGACGAAACGCGTCAAGGGAAGTAACGTCAAGACGCACACGGGAACCGGAAGTTAACGGCAGCCATTTTGGATAAGGGCAAAGTACATCTTCAGATCTCTGGATGTTTTTCCTGGATGGCAGCAGGGTTCTACTTGGTATTTATGCAATTTTAAAGTGTTATTAATGTGAGCAGTTATATTAAAGTATATTGGAATCTTAACATTGTTGGCGGTATTACACTATTTTGTCCCTCATATCGTTTACATCTATATGGTGCCGAATATATGGGGATACATGGAGTATCATGATTAATGGATCTGGATACGCTATGAAGAGAATGTAGATATTGTGGAGTTCTACAAGAGGGTCATCTCCCACCAGCATATATATGATATTGAAAGCATCTTTGGTTTTGATTGTTGGTAAGGGTATGCATTCCTTACCACTATTAGAAGTGTCACAGTGTTAGTGTGAATATGATCACTGAAAAGTGATTCACATACACAGTGTTTTTCACTGTTTGGATTCACCGTTTTTTCTCACTTTATTCACTTTTTTCACAAAATAATAGTTTTGCTTTGGTTTTATGTCACTTAAGTCACTATATTTATGATATTTAAAGGATAATGCACTATGTAATTTACTCTTTTTTTGAGGGTATATTGCTGTGGAATATATTGGAAGAACTACAATCCTTTGGACACTTGTTTCTTCATTGCTATGAAAATTAGCTTTTATTTTGAGAACACTTTAGGGTCTGGACTTTACTTGCGTAGTTGTTAATAGAGGATTTTTCATTTTTAATTTTTTATTAATTTTTTATTTATTTTATGAAATATGACATACCTGCTTGAGACAGGTAAGGAGATATCATTTTCTGCTCTCCTGTAGATGTCAGCTAGGGGGTTTAATATATCAGGTGACTTGTATTAAAGTGACCGTCTCAACAAACACAAAAGTGTAGCACAAGACTTCTTATTCCCTGCAATGTAACGTTTTTAGGCAGGTCAAGTTCATTTTCATGCAGCATTTGTCCAAAGGTAGAATGAGCAAAAATACTAAGTCACTGGCAATAGGACAAAAGAAAAATATTTTTATAATGAAAGTACTGGCTGTCACTCATTGACTTGATTATCCTTATCTTACTGTATATGTGTCCCGTCCATTGCTCCAACACAATTGAAGAAATTGCAGCATTCCCAGAAAAGATTGGCTATGCATGACCACTCCTTGCTTGTTGGCATTGCCATAACCATATCATGCATCACATACCATATCATAGAGCAAGTGTCTTGGATAATGTAGATTCCAACCATGAATGCAAACTGAAGATTAGCAAAGGTTTGGCTGGTTTTTATGAACCTAACGGAAAACCGCCTTACTCAACTCTCCAACGACCTGCTAACCGCCAAAGCTAATGGCCATTATTCAGTGCTCCTACTCCTTGACCTCTCTGCTGCCTTCGACACAGTCGACCACCCCCTCCTCCTCAAAAAACTACACTCCCTCGGCCTCAGAGATTCTGCTCTCTCCTGGCTCTCATCCTACCTGTCACAACGCTCTTTCAGCGTTACCTATAATGCTACCACCTCCCCCTCACTCCCCCTCTCTGTTGGGGTCCCTCAAGGCTCTGTCCTCGGGCCCCTTCTCTTCTCCATCTACACCTCCTCCCTTGGCCAACTCATACACTCTCACGGCTTCAACTACCACCTCTATGCCGACGACACGGAAATCTGTCTCTCAACCCCCCACCTCACCCCCTCGGTCTCCGCCCGAATCACACACCCTGCTGAGCGACATATCAGACTGGATGTCACTCCACTTCCTTAAACTGAACCTCTCCAAAACCGAGTTTCTTGTCTTCCCCCAGCCCGGACACCACCCCCCATTGACTTCTCTGTCACATCCAACAACGCCACCATCAAACCCGCCCCGCTGGCCAGATTACTTGGTGTCATTCTGGACTCCAACCTATCCTTCCAGCCCCAAGTCCAATCTTTAACAAACTCGTGCAGACTCCATCTCCGCAACATCGCCAAAATCTGCACGTTCCTAACCCCAGAAACCACTAAACAGCTCATCCACTCCCTCATCATATCACGACTCGACTACTGCAACTCCCTCCTCACTGGTCTGCCTCGCCGCTGGCTATCCTAGCTTCAGTCGATCCTGAATACGGCTGCCAGACTCATTCACCTTTCTAACCACTCCATCTCCGCCACCCCCCTCTGCCAATCCCTCCACTGGCTTCCGATTGCACAACGGATCAAATTCAAAATCCTAACACTGACGTACAAAGCTGTCCACCATACTGCCCCATACTACATCACTGACCTAATATCCAAGTACCGCCCAGCACGCACACTCCGCTCCTCACAAGACCTCCTTCTCTCTAGTTCCCTGGTCTCCTCCTCCCATTCCCGCCTCCAGGACTTCTCCAGGGTGTCACCCATCCTCTGGAACTCCTTGCCCCAACCCATCAGATTATCACCTACTCTCCTCTCCTTTAGGCGCACCCTGAAAACCCATCTCTTCAGGGAAGTCTACCCCACTCCCTGCTAACCTGCCGACCTCCTCCACTCTTCCTACCACTCCATCCCCCACAGCTATCTCCTCCTGTACCACTATCCCCTCCCCCCTAGATTGTAAGCTCGAAAGAGCAGGGCCCTCGAACCCCTCATGTTTTGCATTGTATTGGCATTGTTCTGTCACATGTTCTGTCCCCCTTTGTAATGTACGGCGCTGAGCGAACCATTGGCGCTTTATAAATACTGTATAATAATATATATATATATATATATATACACACAGTATATATATAGATATAAAAGGATTGGATGCAGCTGGCCGGCCATGGACACCAATTCCATGAAGCTCTCTATGCACTTTTGTGCTAATCTGAAGGCCACACAAAGTTTGGACGTCTATAGCTATTGACTTTGCAGACAGTTGGCGACTTCTGTGCACTTCAGCATACACTGACCCTGCTCTGTCATTTTATGTGGCCTACAACTTTGTGGCTGAGTTGCTGTTTTTCCCAGTTACTTCCACTTTGTTATAATACCACTAACAGTTGGCCGTGAAATATTTAGCAGCAAGGAAATTTCATGAATGGACTTATTGCACAGGTGGCAACCTATCACGGTACCACATTTGAATTCACTGAGTTCCCGAGAGCGACCCATTCTTTCACAAATGTTTGTAGAACCAGTCTGCATGCCTAGGTGCTTGCGTTTATACACCTGTGGCCATGGAGGTGATTGGAACACCTGAATCCAATGATTTGGAGGGGTGTCCCAATACGTTTGGCTATATAGTATGTGTGTATGTATATATATATATATATATATATATATATATATATAAAACTCTTTTTTTTCTGTTACTTTTTATTTAGACCATTACCAAAACCAAAAATGTAACATCTTCCAATTTCCAATACAGAATACTGTATGTAAACTGCTTTATCACAATTTTCACAGCACTGTATTTTAAACTGCTGTCTTCATTTGCAATAACTCTTTATTGTCTTCTAGGAATGTTCAATCCATAAATTGAATTCTGACACAAAAAAATACTTATCACAGACTGTGGTGCCTGCAACTTGAAAAAATTCAATCTGGAATCAGAACATTTTATGCTTTTATTACAGCCATTATGAAGGATTTAGGGCTTGTTTATTGCTGGATTGGTGTAAATGTGCATCTGCCTCTTGGTTCTTTCTAAAAACAAAAAACAAAATGGCATTTACCCTGTAAATGCTGTGAACCAAAGGGATACATTTGTACTCATTTAGAACAAATGTGTCACATGGGAGGCAGGATCACATTGTAAAGAAGTTTTAAACAATGTAGATTGCTTCACCCATAACTACCTTCAGTTTCACTGCTAACAGTGATTATTTGTAGAGCTGGGTCCTCACATCTGTGGGCAAGGCTTATTGCCTAATGTGGGGATCCTTCCAAATACACTCACCAATGCCCAGGAAACAGGCACTGGGCTGTGGTCATGTGAGCATCAGCATTAGGATGACACCTAACCTAACATTTGCCTTGCACAGTTCCACTGTAGTACACTAAGCACTTCTCTAAAAGCACTCTTTCTGTGTCACTGTACACCTTCTCCTCTTCTACGAATGCAGCATTTTGAGGAGGACACAACAGAGCCTGTGTCCAGCTCCACCAGCTCAGCCATGATTGCCACCTCACTCCCAGTATCAATTGGAGGATCTCACCACACACAGCACAGGTGTTATTTTAAGAAAAAAACTTTAACACGAGTGGATGCACTTACTACTCTCTCCTTCCCGAACCTCCAGACTAAGTGCATTGCTTTCCTGTACCGCAATGTCGGTCTCGTGTATAGGGTATCAGTCGCTGGGGAGGGAGCCAGCTCACTGACCCCCTCAGTACCAGGGCTACCATTGCTCATGCCAACCAGTAACTTCAGCTGGCTGGCTGCCATGTCAATCTCCAACACTGGTTTCTCATGCCAATGGCATGTTAATTAAGTCTCCCTCAACTCCCAAATAACTCTTGTATGGTGGCCCTCACTCCTTTGGACTTCATTCCCTTTTTGTTGTACAAGCCCTGGTTCTTTTGATGTGTAATTACTTGCATACTCTTTGTAAGAACTTCAGACAAGGCAGTTAACTTGAAACATTTTACTGAGAAGCATTAAGTTGATACATCACACAATCTCTATACAGTCAATTCTTCCTCACGCTAATGCAGGCCATAGACGGGTCGAAAATCGGCTGATTTTTCTTTTAAAAAAACGAAAAATCGGTCGTTCAAGCGTCCGACGTTACCAGCAACGGTAAAAAAAAAAACAGCCGATTTTCATCCCGTCTACAGCCGGCAAAGTGTCCCTGCAGAGAGCTCCGCTATTTCTTTGACAGTTCCTTGACATTTATAGCGGTTGCAACAATGTATCTATTTGTATCCATTTAGGATACAGATGTTTTTATTCGGAAACAAATAGATACATTGTTGCAACCGCTATAAATGTCAAGGAACTGTCAAAGAAATAGCGGAGCTCTCTGCAGGGACACTTTTTGCCGGACTGGAATTCCTCTTTTTCTTCATCCTCTTCTTCTTCCTCTTCCTCTTCTTCATCCTCTTCCTCTTCTTCTTCTTCATCCTCTTCCTCTTCTTCTTCTTCATCCTCTTCTTCTTCTTCATCCTCTTCTTCTTCATCCTCTTCTTCATCCTCTTCTTCTTCATCCTCTTCTGCTTCTTCATCTTCTTCTTCATCTTCTTCTTCATCCCCTTCTTCTCCATCCTCTTCTTCATCGTCTTCTTCATCAACTTCTTCTCCATCCTCTTCTTCATCCTCTTCTTCTTCTTCATTCTCTTCTTCTTCATCCTCTGTCTTCTTCTTCATCCTCTGCTTCTTCTTCTTCATCCTCTTCTTCTTCTTATTCATCCTCTTCTTCTTCTTCATCCTCTTCTTCTTCATCCTCTTCTTCTTCATCCTCTTCTTCTTCCTCTTCTTCTGCTTCCTCTTCTTCATCTTCTTCATCCTCTTCTTCTTCATCATCCTCTTCTTCTTCCTCTTCATCATCCTCTTCTTCTTCTTCTTCTGCTTCCTCTTCTTCATCCTCTTCTTCTTCTTCCTCTTCTTCTTCCTCTTCTTCTTCTCTGCTTCCTCTTCTTCATCTTCTGCTTCCTCATCTTCATCTTCTTCATCCTCTTCTTCTTCTTCTTCTTCATCATCCTCTTTTTTCTTCCTCTTCTTCTTCTTCCTCTTCTTCTTCCTCTTCTTCATCCTCTTCTGCATCCTCTTCTTCTTCATCCTCTTCTTCATCCTCTTCTTCTTCATCCTCTTCTTCATCATCCTCTTCTTCATCATCCTCTTCTTCATCCTCTTCTCATCTTCATCCTCTTCTTCTTCCTCTCTTCTGCTTCCTCTTCTTCATCTTCTTCTTCTTCATCATCCTCTTCTTCTTCTTCTTCCTCTTCATCATCCTCTTCTTCTTCATCCTCTTCTTCTTCTTCATCCTCTTCTTCTTCCTCTTCTTCTTCATCTCTCTTCTTCTTCTTCTTCATCCTCTTCTTCTTCATCCTCTTCTTCATCCTCTTCTTCTTCTCTTCTTTTTCCTCTTCTTCATCTATCCTCTTCCTCTTCATCCTCTTCTTCTTTTTGTCTTCCCCTTGCAGGTCACTGCTCATGCGCAGATTTTTTTATCGGTAAAAGATCGGCCGATTTGCCCATCATTGCCGCGAAAATCGGCCGATTTTTTTCCAACTTTACCGATAAAAAAAATCTGCCAAAATACCGAAAAACGGCCGAACATTTAGCCCACTAACGATCCGAAAATCGTCCGATTTTATTTTCGGACGAAAAATCGGCCGATTTTCGACCCATCTATGGCCTGCATAACTCTCTCTCCTGTTCAGGCTGTTTTCCTATCCAGGCTGCCATCTCATACCTCAGAGTTGTGAAAACTCCAATAAATTCCTTAGCCCTGGCTCACATTTAACAGTTTCAAATCGCATGACAAGTCACACCCTAATGTCATAATGGAACTGTTCAAATCGGTGTGACTCCAACTTTGCGGTGCTGCACCGATTTGATAAAACAGTTCCTGCACTATTTTTTGCAATTTCAGGTGCAACTTGTATAGACATCTGTGTGTGAAGCCGCACCTGAAATCTCACCGACATGTGGCTTTGAAATTGTGCACCCTTAAGTGAAGTCGCACAATTTCAAAGTCAGATCCAGTGTGAACCACAGCTGTCCTCTTTTTTACCCTGACTAGGTACCCTTTGAATGAGGAGAGAAGACACCTTTAAGTGAGTTCACATCATGCAGTATCCTCCTGGCTCCTTCTCATGTGGAGGCAAAAACCCAAGACTCTAGCTCCCCACCTCTTCCAAAAAGGTTACCGCCCCTTGTATTTTTGGGCTACCAAAAAAAGGACAAAACCATGAATATCCGGGAGTTAGCAACCTTAATTGCTTCTTAACTTTTGGACAGCCTGCTGACTCAATACATATAAATATGAAATACATAAACATTACACTTACTAATAACAGGTTATAATGGATACTCAAGATAAAAGAAAACCTTCTTTTGTATACTACCCCTGTAAGCACGTAAACAAGCCAGCCATAGATGATTTGAACCATCTATGTGCAGACTGACTGTACCCTAGTCGATTGTTGTATGATTTTGGTACTACCAGCATGTCGGATTTTTCATGTGATTATTGCTAGCGGATGTTAAAGCCACTAACAGTAATCACTGTGTTCTAATGGCGGGACAGCTCCCCACGTCGGGAGAACACAATAGCTCCGCCGGAGGGATACCCTGTCAACACAAATTTTGTTGATGGGGGATTCAAGCTATTTTTTTTCTGCATTCATAGTTGCAGGAAAGTAAATCATGCATGACCTGCCTTACACATATTCTCCTTGTCAATTAACTACATCAATCTCACTGTATGTGTAAAATTGATGGAGTGGTGGATGTGTATTTCTGAAGGGCCCTTTATAATTAGCAGGTCAGAAACCACACTCAGGTGGCTAGTGTGCCTGAAATCGCTGTGATGACCAACCACAGGGTTCAGCAGCAGATTCATGGTGAGGGGATATAACTGACTGAGGGATTGTTTTATATCACCCTTCCCCTATCCTTCACTTATCTTGCCCTGCCTGTTAACCTCCTAATCTCCATTCTCCCACTGTAGGTGAGCAGTACATTAACCCCTTCATTCTCCTCCCTCTGTGTATGACTTATATATTTAATAATACATGCATATATGTGTAATAATTTAGTGCTCCAGTCTTCATGTTTTAACCATCTCAGTACCAGCATGCTTTCTGATTTCCTGCATAATTGTGGCAAAAACTGAGATCACCTTGGAGTGTCTACTTTCCAAAAAAATGGGTAATTAAAGTGATTGTAAAGCCTAAAGATTTTTTTTTTTTTTACCTTTATGTATTCTATGAAGCTTGCTCTGGGGGCACTCAGCAGGGGAAGGGGCCTGGAGTGCCAGCAGGAGACCTGAGAAGAGTAGGATTGGGACCCTTGCACAGAGCAGGTAAGTATAACATGGGCATTCTGACACTGGGAGAAACTGACTTGGTGTCACTGACATCCCCAATGACACCAATACAGTGATCAGTGCCAAAACAAAGCACTGACACTGTACTAATGGCACTGGGCAGGAAGGGGTTAACATGAGGGGTGATCAAAGGGTTAACTGTGTGCT